CCCATTTCAGACCTAGCACTGTGATGAAGTGAGTAGATACCTTTGCCAGATACCTCAGATTGCCAGTGCCTTGGGTGTGAGTTCATACTCCTCATCCATCCTTGTAACTGAACAAAGAAACAGTGCAAAGAAACAGTAGGATGAAATACACTGGCCATACAGACACTGCTTTTCCCTATTCAACTCATGTGCTGACAGATGGAGCTGCACATAAAAAGCCGTCTCTGAAGGCTGTCAGGAACACACTTGCTTCTGGAACATTAACTGAGGTGATTGCTAAGACCCGAGCTTGTGTTCACGGTGCTCCCATCAGCAAAGCAGAACACAAGCCCAACACCCGTCATTCTCTTTGAACCCTGCACTGCAGGCTGTCAGTCTAGCCAGAAGCCCAGCAATCTCATTTACGCAAAAACAAAAACAGAAAGACAGCTCCTCCTGATGGGAATAAAAATTAATTCCAGCCAGGCAGCATAGATTCTGAATTGCAAATTACGATGACAATATTTCCTTGTTCAGAAGAGACTCTCATGCCAAAGAAACGCCATTAGCATCAGAAACTTCATCCAAAGAAATCACTAGTGAAAACTCCAGAAATAGGATACAAAAGCAAGGGAAAGGCTAAGGCCCTCTTTGTAAAGAACACCATGCTAGTGTGAAATGGACCCTCAGAAAACAATGGACCTTTTGTTCCACAAAGTATATTTTGGGCAGTAGGACAAATGTGTTACTTGGATCTTGGCAGTACTGCCAAATGCATGCTGCACAAAAGACTGGTGATGCAAGTATGGCCACTGCAGACCCAAAGATGTGAGTTCTTTTTCTGGCTCTACTCCAGCCCCTGTGTAACTCCAGGATTATTTCCTCTGTCCAAGGTTCATCTCACCTCACTGCAGCCATCTAAGAGACAGACATCTAGGCTAGGTGATCTGCCTAGGCTTAGCTTACAGCCTACGGGGAGAGACTACCCTGTCCAGAGGGCTACTTAGCTCCTTTCTCGGACACTAGGTTTAGAGTAGGGTGGATGGCCTCTAAAAGTGCTGATCTCTTGCTGCTGACTAAAGGGGAAGGTTAGGGCAGAGAACCAGCTCCTAGCTGTTAGCTGAAGTGAACTATGCATTTGCATCAGGTGGAAAAATCAGATAAGAAGTCTTCTGCCCACTTAAATGACAAGGCACTGACTTAGGATCTGCCATCCTCTGCATCTATGTATGGCACAATTGACTCTGGCAGAATAACACAACAAATACTTCTGCTCAACCCAGAAAGCACACATCAGCATCTTGCTTAGTGTAACAATTTAGGATTACTGTCTGAACAGGCTAAGTGGAGAGATTACCATCTGTGAGCTTGTATTTTTCCTGTGTCTGGGTGGCAGGGCAGTAAGAAGGCACTGCCCAATTCTTACACTCTCTGAGCACAGGGATTGTGAGTACAGTAAGATTTTGCTGTGATGTACAAGGCAAGGAACATCAAGAGCGCTTCTCATCATGCTCTCTTTTGCAAAGGCTGATCCTAATCTGCTCTTTAGAATAGCTGCTGTCTGCTGAATTAAAGGGATTCTCAGGCCAATTTAGGCTTCTTGGCAAACTAAGAGGAACATTTCCTGGGCTCAGATGGAGAGAACTTCAAGACAAAAATGTCATTTTAAGATAGAAGGACAATGTTGCAATATTGCAAGAAGAAGAAATCCTTACTAGTATGAAGACCCACATGGTTGCATTGTCAGAGCACAGAAAAGTACTAAGAATGACTATTTGGGACCACATCGAAGGCCCCTGTAGTTAAGTACCTTATCTACAGAGTAACAACTGCTTAAATACTGTGAGAACTTCAGCAAATACAGGTCTATCCTCTTGTATGTACTCCGAGCTTTCAGCAACTCGCAGTTACGAACTTACTGAATCAGATGGTTTGTCCTTTAAGCAGAAAACTGGCCTTCCATGGATTTATCTAATCTTTTTGAATTCATGTGTAATTCTGTCCATTAGATCACAAAGTAAGAAAATTTCCCAATTTCATTATGTATTCTATTCTTTCATTATTATTCTGTTTTAAAATTGTCTTAGTCCTGCTACTCAATAATTTCATAAGGTCTCTCTCATTCTTGTATTACAGGCAATAACGAATATTTCACCCCTTTTCCCTTTTCCCATGCTGCTCAGGATTCTACAGATTCATATCAATTCCCTTGTCTGTTGTAAAAGTCCTAGTCTGTTTATCCTCTTTGATCTGAAGTCATTACATAGACTTCTGTTTATCTTTGTTTCCCTTTTCTGGACCTTTTCCAACCCTTCCACAGTTTAACATATTCCTCTTCAGAGTTGACAGCCAGAACTGCACACAGTGATCAAGAAGTCAGTTCATCACAGATCTTGTTTTGTTCTCTTTTAGTTTTCTACTGCTGTTCCTACTGCTGCTTTATATGCAGTTTTCTATTTTGTTTCCATTGTTTCCACAAGTTTTGTGGATTTCTTCTTTCATAGTAATTCTCACAATTTTTTGTTTTGCCTTTTAGACTATTGCTAGGCACTACTAAGTGTTTGAAAAGAAACATGTACTTGAATGACTTCAAGATCACTTTCCTGAATAACAGCAATCTCCTTGAAGAACAGTGCTAAACTTTTTATGCCACATGCACTATATTTCTCAACAATGAATTTCATTAGCCACTTTACTACAGCTAAGAGCCTTCAGCATTCATTCAAGAAAAATGTGTTCCCTTAAAATAAAAACCAAATGCCTTGCCTTGGTAGCTCCAAATATTCACAACAGATTCTAACATTATCAGCATAAAAAACACTAGCAAAAATGTCCACTGTAATTTGCAAGCACATACAGATTAACTGAAATGGCTGGTGGGCAAAGACGTAGCTAATGGTAAGATCTTTTCTTCATCTTCCCCACTCTCTGTCCTCCACAAAGAATTCCTAGGGTTAGGGTATTTGGGGTAAAAACTTTAGTGCCTAGTCACACTATCTGCAATTCTCAAACACTGGTTACCTGTAGCACTGATCTTTATTTCAAGCCAGATGGAGAGTTATTAGTGCCCTACTGAAGAGTCAGCTTTTACTTAACTAAATAAAATACTAATACTCAGGGAAGAAGGACAACTTTCCTGCTAGAGACAGTGGGGGCACAAACTGTGTTAAAACACTCAGTCCTTCTCACAAATCTAATGACTGTTGTCCAACTGTTCTGCAGTCTCTCCTACTCTCGCAGCAAAGAGAAGGCTCTGCTGCCTTTGCAATACTGTTCTTGGCCCCTCTCTGCTTTGTGTCAGAGTTAATGGTAAAACCTGTGGGGAGATCTTTGCAAGGAGCAGATGTCCTGGAGCTGTGCAGTTGGAATACTGCTGTAATCTTCACAAGTGCTGAGGAAAAGGCAGTAGAGAATTAAAAGAGTTCAGAATTTCAGTAATTTTTCTGCATTCCCTTGTTAATTAACAACACTCATCTGAGGTAAAACTGAGGCTTTAAGGTCACTGTTCACTACATGAGAAAGCCGGCAATGTGACTCTACACCAGCTACTGACACTGGAGAAGAGTAGAGTTCCGGTGAGTCCCAAAGCACTTTCATAGGGCATATGAAAAAATTATTGAGTGGCCTGCTGAGAAGACAACACTGAGGAGCCAACTCTACTGGGTGAGAAAGACCCCAGGAAAACTTGTCTCACAACTGGTCTCCTACCTTTTGGAATCTGTCTGGGAAGCAGTGGACCTTGGGGGCAACTACCAGAATGCTGTCCCCAATCTGAAAAGCTATTCATAATAGTCAGCACTTACAATTATAGAATCATAGAATCATAGAACAGTTTCTTCTCAAAGAGATCTTCAAGATCATCGAGTCCAACCTTTTCCTAGCCCTATGAACACCACTAAACCATGTCCTTCAAGGTAACATCTACCCTTCTGTTAAACACCTCCAGGGATGGTGACTCAACCACCTCCCTGGGCAGCCTGTTTCAATGCCTGACAACACTTTCTTCCTAACATCCAACCTGAACCTCCCCTGGCTCTACTTAAGGCCATTTCCTCTTGCCACTAGGGAGAACAGACCAGCCCCCACCTCTTTACAACCTTCTTTCAAGTAGCTGTAGAGAGCCATAAGGTCTCCCCTTAATCTCCTCTTCTCCAGGCTGAACAGCCTCAGATTCCTCAGCCTACAGGTAGAGCTAGAAAGCAGCAGTCAGAGAAAGAAAAAAAGGGTTATTCACAGCTGTTTATTCACAGCAACATTACTATCCCATTTACACAGGAGTAAAGGGGGAGATGTGAAGAGAAGAATTCAGAATATAGCAGTCAGTGTGTCTGTGAGCAATAAAAGATACTGAACAGAGGGAAATGCAAGGTGGTTTATCTGAATTCCCATGTTGTTAAATAAAAATGAAGTATATAAACTAAGCAGGTAGATGTAATGCACACAGCAAAACAACAACACGAAAGGTGAGACATTGTTAGAATTCTTTTCCATTTCCTGAATACGGAAGTAACACAGCAACCCCTGAACTTTATGTTCACTGCTACTCAAAATTATTCCATGTCCAATCCCAGACGCTATAGCAGGGAAAGTGCATTTTCATGCTCAGGCCTGATGTGCCCTAATGGAGAATTTACCCTCTGAGACTCCCCTGAAGGGCTCTCCTAACAAGAAATGAGTTTACAATTAGAGAAGGCTCTCATGATTAGCTTCTGGTGAAACATAACATATCTGGTCTTTCAGCAATTGTTAGGACAGGAACAGAGCCCATCAAGTAAGATTAAAAGGATCAAGTGGTGCTTCAAGAGTGGTGCTGCCTATGCCTACGCATTTCTGAATGTTTATGTCATGGAACGTAAAGGCCTAATCTCTATCTTGAGTTAAATCTCTGTGTACTGCTTTGAAATCAAGTGAGTCCTTGCTATCAGAAGCAATCCATACCCCAGAGTATTATATGATTTGATCTCAGTGCACCTGTTTAATATTTTAAATCTCTCAATGATTCTTTTGCATTTGTTACTTACAAGAGCCATACCCCACTGCAAATAGGTCCTTGTACTTTGGATTCCTGTAATGAGAAAACACACATAAGATTGCATTTATTAGTAACCATACAGTTCCACAGAAGCGCACAGCGTTTCACACTTTAATATCAGAGTCCATTCTCACAGGACTGCATACGGTTTGAGGGCTTGACCCTTTGAACATATGTGCTAGTAAAGTTTGTGTTTGAGTAATTCTTCCAGACTCAAAATGCATAAAAAAATGGAAAATCAGAAGACCACAGCAGTAGGCGAAAACGATTAAAAGGGCACAGACAGACATGATGTCAATTTCCAACACTTCTTGGCTTATCAGTTTCATAATCATGGAAAGTTTAGTTTTAAAAATGATGTCTTTGAGGAAAGGAAAAATGCAGGAGTGTGCTGGACTCTGTCTTTCAGGAGCAAGAACAAAGAATTTTCTGAACCGCAACACAATAATATCCAATAAACTTCCTTTCCCTACCTGTTACTAAATAATGAGGGATGCTTCAACAGCCAGATATCAGGTCATGAATTCATAATAACTCTCACAGAATAGTATATTTGCTGAGGCATACCAATTATGAGCAAATAGCCATCTACTATGTCTTCTAAAGTCCATTTATTAAAAAAAAATCTACCTTTACAACTTCTTCTCTATGTGGACAGTTACCATAGAGGACAGTTACATGGAACAAAGGTCAGTACTACTGCTGACCCTGAGCTCACACAGTACAACCAGCAGGTAGCAATTCTGTGAAATGAATGTGTGTGAAAACTATCTAATGAGTGTTTTCTCTGACTTGCTACTTTGAATTGACAAAATAAACCCATTTATCTCTTAATTTCTCCTTTTTCACTTGGGCTAGTATCTAGGCATCACAATGCTCTTGCTCTAACCACTAAATTCACCATCAGTGCCAACAATGTAAGAATAAAAACTAAATTAGAAAAACTTATTACATGGCAATTTGGTGTCAATCTTACAATTTCAGGACCACCTTTCTGCTATCATTTCCTTGAGACAAGAATAACAGCAGCATAAACTACCTATAAAAGGTGCCTTTTCTCCCAAATATAGATCTCATTTTAGTGTTATTTTTTAGTCACACAAGTGCATCCTTAGTACTCTACTAAAGTATAATTACTGCAGTGGCTTGAAAGGATGAAAGACTGAAGTCCTGCTTTGTGTCTTCAGAGATCATCTTTGGCAAGGCACAGATGTCTTCACATCAGCCCACAAACAAATGAGAGGAGGCCTAACTGCAGGGAGCACAAGGCAGGAGCAGACTACGTATGCCTCATGCTCAGGCATGAACTGAGCCAGTTCTAAGGAGGATCAAGCATGCTAAAAACTAAAAGCACTCATTTTTAAAATGGTAATAACCAGGACAATAACACCTCAGAAAAAAAAACCAACAGTTGATTTGAAAATATCTGTTATTGGTTTCTGGACTGAGCATGAATAAATATGCAAAAGTATTCTGCAGGGCAAATGCCTACTAACATGAACTGTGTAAGATCCCAGTACACATGTTCCTGCCATCTGGGCAGCAACTGAATATCAATCATGTATAAAGTTCTTACCTGGTATCAGTGCCTCAGCATCCTAGAGTCTATGGTGCTATCTCTCTAGCACATGCAATGTTTGCATTTCCCTTCCTGCTGCTTCAGTTCTTCTGTGATGACACTTGTCAAAAGTACAGTCACTATCCTTTCTCTTTCCTTGGTCTTTTCAGGACTGATTCTGACAGTATATTATCCAAAGATATAACATGCAGGCTGGATTAAAAATGATCTCTAAGGTCCCTTCCAGCCTAGGCCATTCTATGATTCTATCATTCTATGATTCTATGTCTATCTCAGCTTTCCCAGAAAGGGACTCTTCTATGCTCTGCTACCTGCACCCACTTTGCTCTCACGCCGCACAGAGACTGTTGCGCCCTCAGCTTTTGCTGAATGGCACAAGTCTGGCATACTCAGCTTTACACAAGGTGCTTCGCATCCAGAAGTACCAGGAATGTCTAGGTGCTGCCAAAGCAGCTGATTGTAATTATTCAAAACGATGTTCCCAGAAAAAATAGCCCTGCCCGATAAGGCGCTGTGACATCCAATTCCGCCCCTCGCAGCCGAAAGTTGTAATAAAGAGACTTACCAGGAGAGGGCAGTAACTGCAAGTCTCTTGGTTTTGTCAAACTGGAACTTCCAGAGTGGGAGGAGAGTTCCTTGTTGGTCTCTGTATTCATCCGAGGCATCCTCAAAATACTTAAAATCTAAACCAAAACAAAAACCAAAAAGCCCAAGGAAAAGTTCTAGTTTATAAATATGAAATAAATCTGTGCTGTGCCTGGGAAGCTTTAAAAAATGCTGTTATCCTCACAGCCTCTGCGCAACCCGATTTTTAGTATAGAAACTCAGTCCTGAAAACAGCACCTAAGACCTGTAAATGCATTAAACCAAGCACCAAGTTGTCCCACAAAAAAAAGAAAAAAAAGACCCAAAAGTAGACAAAGGATGATAAAGAAAGTACAAGTCCAGAGCAAAGAGTGATTGCAGGCCATTCACAGAGCTAGATATTGCCTTTCAGAAGGGAGCTGAGCAGAGCAAGCAAACCTCTTGGAAAATAACATCAATACTGAGTATGCCACCATGGCTGGGACCTGTATGCCAGCCAAGAGCTGCTTGGCACTGGCTGCTGTCATCAGCAGCTGCAGCCAGGAGGGAAGAATATGCTGAGGGAGAGAAGTGCCTCAGGGAGGGCAATGCTGAGCAGACCTGTTGTTCCCAGCCACCTCAGGGGAGGGCTCACTGGACATGCCCTTTGCAGACCCATGGTCTGCTGTACTGTTTTTCTTGTGTGAGTCAACACGTTCCTAGCCATGCCCATTTTAGCTCTGCTCTATTGTATTCTATTCTATTCTACTCTATTCTATTCTATTCTACGCTATGCTATGCTATGCTATTCTACTCTACTCTACTCTACTCAACTCTATTCTACCCTATTCCACCCTACCCTACCCTACCCTACCCTACCCTACCATTTCCTAGCCTAGCCTAGCCTTCCTTGCTATGGCTGTGGCCAGACATCTGCAGGACTTCTGGCTTGAGTCACAAGCACCCCTCAGCAGGGCCGTACCTTGTGCAATGTCATCAAATGTGTTCTGATTCACCATCCGCTCCATTATTTTAGCCGCCTTTGAGATCTTGTTTATATCATCACTCTGATGAAAAGAAAAAGAAGGAAGAGAAAATGTATTTCCCATTTGTTTAGAAAGCCCTTCAGACTTTGTGTGACCAAAAAACTTGAGTCCTTTGATCTTGAATACAGGATAATTTGAAGGTCCTCACAACAGCACTTAATGATAAGGGCACTTGAATTAAGGCAATGACTTCATAATAAGTTTAGCAAGATGCTATCCACAGCTGAGCTGCAGTAACTTCAGCGCTTCAGTGTTTGTTCCTGATTTAGCTAAATTGGAAGGTACTTATCTGTGAAAGCAGTTAGTGTCTTGTCTTCCTTGACACATTGAAGCTACCTCATGATGGGATGAGCTAAAAACACACACATAACCCCTCCCCTATCTCACTTGGTAATAGTTCATTAGCTTCTGTAATGAAATTATAGATGCTTGATTATGCATGAGCAGCCTCTCAGCTCTACGTGGAGAGCTTTAAGGTCTCGTGTTAAGTAAAGATCACGGGATTTAAGAGTCCTTCAGTCAATCACTGAGCAAATCCAACTTGATGCATTCACAAGTCTATAAGCTCATACAATATATAACCAACATGAAAAGGGCAATCTACCGTCCAGCTCCTGTGGAAATTGTTTTGATACTGTGGAAAACCCCATTCTCCTGGCCAGGGAACACCACTAGTGGGCCAGTCTGTGTATGTGAAGGTACGCAGATATACCTGCACATACGCAGGTGTTAAAGATCTGGGGAATGGCATCTTGCAAGACCAACAGTCGCTACATAACTGTATCAGTAATATCACATAAGGATAAGATTGCCTGGGAAACTATGCTAGAAATAGCAAACTTGGATATAGACATAGCAAAAATATGACCAATGGGGAAAAAGTAATTAGAGGCAGGTTGTTGATGTTGAAAGAGACAAGGGTGGAGAAAGGCAATTATCCAGATGGATGGGGAAAGAAGCAGCATGTAGAAAAGGAGAAAAGAGAGTGTAACTAGAGGCTGTTTGACTGTCAGCACGTGGCTGGTTAGAATGCTAGCCTGACAGAGCCCTGTGCTTGATCGCTATAGCCTTATAACCATTTTCCTACTAAACTCTGTTCCTAAGTATTTATTGTATGAGTGTGCTCTCTATCCTCTATGTGTGTATGTGCAACCACCAGCAAAATCCAAACTGGATTAACTGGCAAGTAGGACAAGAAGCCTTGGTGCCAGCAACCAGAAGGACAGAGCTTAAAATTCCCCAGACTATGCTGGGCCACAAGGACGATGCCAGCACAGCTCTGTGCAATGATGTGAGAATGTCAAGGCATATGCCAAGTGCTCATGCTGCTCCAGATCCAGCATGATGCTGAATTCCCATCTACCACTGCTGCCCCAAAGCCCCATCAGTGTTTGAAAGGCTTTCATCTTTGAACCTCTGCTAGGGCACGACAGCTGACAGCACGGCATGATTACCTCCACAATGACGACACTGAAAAGAAACTTGTCATCCTTCCTTGACACAGCTCAGAGAGTGCACTGAACATGAAATGAAAAAGTGAAATCACTTACCAAGACTACATCACACAGTCACAATCGCAACCAAGAATATGACCAGATTATGTGCATCCCAGACCTCTGCATCTTTCCTCGGCTCTGCATAGACCCAGGAGAGACTGAGAGTCTTGCTTCAAAGAGCATGAAACTCAAAAGAGTATACAAAGATGACAGGAAAAGGAGGGGCAAAAAGTAACTCTATAATCTGCAACACTTTTTATAAATCCATAATTTGCCTACACCTTCAGTAATGTGTGCTGTCCTCAGTCTCAGAAAGGATAAAGTAGAATTTGGAGCCAAGTTCAGAGAAGGGCAACAACTACGGTCCAAGTCTGGAATGGTTTCCAAAAAACTGAGTAGTCTGGGACTTACCCATCTGAGAAGAGGTGGACTGGGAAGACACAAGATAGATCTATGAAATCCTAAATGGCTCAGAGAGGGTGGACAGGGACTGACTGTTCACTGTCTCTTCTGATGCAAAGAGATGCGGTGTCAAGTAAAGCTAGCAAAGTCAAGTTCAAATTAAGCAATAGGAGGTAACTCTTACAGAAGGATAACATATTTACGTAACGGCTCATCGAAGTGTGTTGTAGATGCAAGAATTTTACATGGTTTCAAAGAAGACTGAACAAGTACTTCCATCTGTGTTCCAAAGTCCATCAAGCTTAGGAAATCACTGAAAATAGTTGAAGGCTGGAAGAGTATCTGGGACTGGGATATACTTTTGCTGTGCTCTCGTGCTGTGTTCTGACCTCTCCTTACACACTCACTTGTGGTTAGAGATTTGATCTGAATTACTATGGCCACTCTTATGTTCTTCAGGTTTTCACTGGGCCTGTGGGAAAACTTCTTGAGAACAGCACAGGGAAATTGCTGTCATGTTCAGAATTTAAGAAAGGACAGGGAAATATGTTTTCAAATTTTAATAAGGTAAGATATTCCCTAGTCATTAGGAATTAATAAATATTAAGAGAAATTAAACAGTGAGAGAAAGGGATTGCTTGAAATATCTCAAGTAGAAATCAGTACTCTCAATTACTTGGATTTCTCTTTTTTGACTTTAAGTTCCCACTACTGCTTCTGCAACAATAAGACCTGTCTTTCTTTAAAACAATTCCTTAAAAAAAAAAGGAAATCACCTTTGCTAATACTTATACAGAAGTATTGTGATCATGACACAGCATATTGCTGTGAGTAAGCTTAATTGACAGAGGTTAAATGTTGAAAATGCTATAATTTGATTTAGAAAAAGAGAACTGCAATAAACAGTTTCCTCTCCAACATCATAAAAGTAACAGTTACAAGCACAAAGAACAGATCTTCTGTTGTCCTGCTGGTTCATCAGGTGTGTTAGCACCTATTATGCAGGTAAAATTATATGCACCAGCTACTGGAAGAATTTGGGGAAGAATGGCAGTGCTGTACACTACAGACATGAGCCCCATCATGGCTCTTGTTTACTTACACATCTCAGGAAACTTGCACTGCAAGCATTCTGAAATGTCAACCTTAGACATCATTCTGGACTGAAGATCAGAAGATTAGGCTTACTTTACGTGTTCTGAAAGATGACTGCTAAGTCTTGCCCAATGTATGATGACATCAAGGTGAGTGTGTAAAGGAGGGGATGTCATTCAAAGGGACCTGGACAGGCCTGAGGGGTGTGCCCATGCCAACCTCACAGAGTTCAACAAGGCCAAGTGCAAGGTCCTGCACCTAGGTCAGGGCAATCCCAAGCGCAAACACAGGCTGGGAGATGAGTCAACTGAAAGTGGTTCTGCAGAGAAGGACTTTGGGGTCCTGGCAGATGAAAAACTGAACATGAGGCAGCAATGTGCACTTGCAGCCCAGAAGGACAATCACATCCTGGGCTGCATCAACAGAAATGTGGCCAGAAGGCCAAGGGATATGATTCTAGCCCTCTGCTCTGCTCTGGTGAGACTCCACCTACAGTGCTGTGTTCAGCTCTGGGGCATCCAGCGTCAAAAGGACATGGGCCTGCTGGAGAGGGTCCAGAGGAGGCTGTGAAGATGATCAGAGGGCTGGAGCATCTCTCTACAAGGACAGGCTGAAAGAGTTGGGGCTGTTCAGCCTGGAGAAGAGGAGGCTCCAGGCAGACCTCATAGCAGCATTCCAGCAGGAAAGAAGTGGAGACAGTCTTTATAAGAGACTATAGAGATAGGGTAAAGGTTAACAGTTTCAAGTAGAAAGAGGGTAGATTTAGATTAGATATTAGGAAGAATTCTTTTTCTGTGAGGGCAATGAGACACTGGCACTGGTTGCCCAGAGAATCTGTGGACAGTCCCTCCCTGAAAGTGCTCCAGGCCAGGCTGGACGGGACTTTGAGCAATCTGGTCTAGTGCAGGGGGTTAGAACTAGATGATTTTTAAGGTCCCTTCCAACCCAAACCATTCTATGATTCTATGATTTATTAATTTTTTTTGTTAGTGGAAAGCAGGCTTTAAACTAAAAAACTGGGTGTAAATGCAGAAACAATGTACTATTTAATGGATTTTTTTTTTCCTGCAATGCAGAAAACTCTCTAGGTGAATCTAAAATTTCTCAAATTGGCTTTCCTGTTAGGTAGCTATGCTACTAGCAATTCAGCCATGAATAACTACATTTTTGGCACTAAATTGGATTATAGTAAGTTATTTTCTCATTGGATTCTGTCGTATGTCAGGTTTGATATATTCTGTATGTTATTGAAAAAAAATCTCAGTGACAGTGATAGGCCTGATTAGTCCTATTTTTAAAAACACCTGTCTGAAACTAATTTTTTTGTTGTGAGCCAACTCCAGGCTAGCTAGCCAAATGTAATGAAAGCTCATCAGCTAACAAATTTATTTCATTTCTTTCTGTGCATAAATTATTTTTAGAACAGCAATAATGTTAATTGAATCATATCTAAGAGGGTCTAGTACTTTGCAAATAAATGTCTTGCTCTTGTATTCATTAACAGTAATTGTTTTACACTTGCCTCGCAGCAGCTGGCCAATTGCAATGTGTAACTCCAGTAAACCAAAGCATGAAAAAAAGGCTTCTGCTGGTGTATAATTACATATCCAGAAGACAGATTCCACCCTAAAACCAGTGCAGTACTTGCTCATATTTCTGGCAATACACATACTACAACTAGAACTCCTGGCTTGCAGAGAAAAAAACATTGTACATGGGTGTTATCTGTGTTATCTGTTGCACAACCAACATCATGATGCACTGCAAACACCCACTGCAAATCCAGAATAACATCCCTCAGGTTGAATCATGTAAAGCAGTTATTAATTTCCAGAATTGTACTCATCTGTTCACTTGCACTGTTTGCTTCTAATTCTGAAATGCTGTAAACAGCAGATTGAAGACATGAGAGTTGGTAATAACTCATCTACTCCTAGGGATGATCGAGAACAGCTGAACAATAATGTGAAGGTTAACTGCATTTGAATTTCAGCTGGTTTTTTCAAAGATAACTGTGGTCATCCAAGA